GTGTTTCTTCAAGGGTATATCAACTCCCTGGCACTATGTCATAATTTAGTCTGTAGGGATATTGATCACCTTTTCCTTCCACAAGACATCACACTGGTCCATTATAATGATGACATTATGCTGATTGGAACCTAGTAAGGAAGTATAGATGACTCTAGACCTATTGGTGAGATATATGCATGCTAGTGGGTGGGAAATTAACCCAACAAAAATTCAGGCACCTTCCACCTCAGTGAAATTTCTAGGGGTCCAATGGTGTGGGGCATGTCGAGATATTCCCACTAAAGTGAAGAATAAGTTACTGTACCTGGCTTTCCCCACAACTAAAAAGGACGCACAATGTCTGGTGGGCCTCTTTGGATTTTGGAAACAACATATGTCTCATTTGGGTGTGTTGCTGCGGCCTATTTATCAAGTGACTCAGAAAGCTTCTAGTTTTGAGTGGGGCCCAGAACAACAGAAGGTTCTGCAACAGGTTCAGGCTGCCGTGCAGGCTACTCTGCTACTTGGGCCATATGATCTGGCTGATCCAATGGTGCCTGAACTGTCTGTAGTAGATAGAGATGCTGTTTGGAGTCTTGGCAGGTCCCTATTGGTGAATCACAATGCAGACCCTTGAGATTTTGGAGCAAAGCCCTGCCATCCTCTGCAGATAACTACTCTCCTTTTGACAAACAGCTTTTAGCTTGTTATTGGGCTTTAGTAGTGACTGAACACCTAACCATGGGCCACCAAGTCACCATGAGGCCTGAGCTGCCCATCATGAAATGGGTGTTGTCTGACCCACAGAGTCATAAAGTTGGACGTGCACAGCAGCACTCCATCATTAAATGGAAGTGGTATATCAGAGATCAGGCTCGAGCAGGACCTGAACGCACAAGTAAGTTGCATGAGGAAGTGGCCCAAATGCCTATGGTCTCCACTCCAGTCACATTGACCTTCCCTCTCCCAGTTTTCACCTATGGCCTCATGGGGAGTTCCTTATGATCAGTTGACTGAGGAAGAGAAAACTCTTGTCTGGTTTACAGATGGTTCTGCACAATATGCAGGCACCACTTGAAAGTGGACAGCAGTGGCACTGCAGCCCCTTTCTGGGATTTCCCTGAAGGACAGTGGTGAAGGGAAATCCTCCCAATGGGCAGAACTTTGAAGCGTGCATATGGCTGTTCACTTTGCATGGAATAAGATATGGCCAGATGTGTGATTATATACGGATTCTCAGGCTGTGGCCAATGGCTTGGCTGGATGGTCTGGGAAGGAGCATGATTGGAAAATCGGTGACAAGGATGTATGGGGAAGAGGTATGTGGATGGATCTCTGCGAATGGGCCAAAGGAATAAAGATATTTGTGTCTCATGTGAATGCCCACCAAAAGGTGACCTCAGCAAAGGAGGACTTTCAATAATCAGGTGGATAGGATGACATGTTCAGTGGAAACCAGCCATCCTTTTTTCCCAGCTACTCCTGTCATTGCTCAATGAGCTCATGAACAAAGTGGCCATGGTGGCAGGGATGGAGGTTATGCATAGGCTCAGCAACATGGACTCCCACTTACCAAGGCTGACGAACCCCAAGAAACGGACGTCAGATGATGAGAAGCCAGATGTAGGATCCAGAGCAAGTGAGCGAGTTTTGCCAGAACATCCATATATATTTGGATGCAGGCCACTTCTCCTAGGAAATTCCCCTTACAACTGATTGGCTGATCACATCAGATCACATCATCAGGGATGATTACATCATTACATAACTGCCAAACCACTGAGAATCATGGCCCAGTCGCTGGCACATACCCTGAACTATCTATCACACTCCTTAATATGGAGCAACAGTACAAGTCAAGGTGATCACTCTCCTCCACATAAGCCATAATAGTTCTCATATTCATGCCCTTGAACAGGCTTCCCTGTTCAATATATCCCTCTCTCAGTGCTCTCCACCTCTCCAAATTCTATTCATCCATCCAGGTTTAGCTTAAATCCCTTCATAAAGCCTATATAACTTCCCTCAGTTCTAACAATCATTACTTTCTTTGAATGTAGTTAGTACTGCATTCCCTCTAAATACTTTGAACAGAATTGTATGTCTCTAATTATATAAGTGCTAGAAATGCTAGTCTGTATGGCCCTTGAGATAGGTACCATTAGTTATACAGCTCTTGCCTTCTGAAGTCTTAACCTACTGTCATCGTTTGGATTCTGACTCACAGTGACCCTATAGGACAGAACAGAACTGCCCCACCGGATTTCCAAGGCAGTAATTCTTATGGAAGTAGACTGCCACATCCTTCTTCCACAGAGCAATCGTGTGGGTTAAGAGTGCTGACCTTTTGCTTCGCAGCTGAGCATTTAATCACCGTGCCACTAGGGCTCCTTTCTGCAGTCTTAAGCACTCTCAATGAAGCAGTGTGATACAGTGTAAAGAACATTAGGACGAAGGTTACTATCCTGACTTAGCATTGAGGGGATCCCATGGCTGGTGCAAAGGGTTAAAGCACTCGGCTGTTAACTGGAAGGTTGGAGGTTCAAGTCCACCTAGGGATGCCTCAGAAAAAATGTCCTAGTGATCTATATCTGAAAAATCAGCCCTGAAAACTTACGGTTTTCTATACTGACATACATGGAGTCGTATCGGAATTGATTCTGATTAGTAATGAAGAAGTCCTGGTGGCTCAGTGGTTAAGCATCTGGTTGCTAACCAAAAGGTTGGCAATTTGAACCAGCACTCTGCCGAAGAAAGATGTGGCAGTCTGCTTCCATCAAGATTTTCTGCCTTAGACACTACGGGGAAGCTCTACTCCCACCTATAGGGTTGCTATGAGTCGGAATCAACTTGGCAATAATATGTTTTGTTGTTGTTGTTGTTGTTAGTACTGAGGGGTCTGAAACAAGCTCTTGCAAAACCAAACTCTCTGAGCTTGATTCTGTTAAACTTTACCTTGCACTATGTAAATGAAAGCTGTTAAAACATCTTGAAGAACACTAGCTTTGAAGAACACGGATTAGCTGTCAGTACAATAAAAATGTGTGCTTCATTGCTTCAGATTCCTGTTTTCATGACTATCCCTTAAGCCTTAGACCAGTACCACAACATTTAAATAAGTATAATATGGACTTTCAATAAAGAAATTGTGACTGATGATGGCACGTTGATCACCAAAAAGTCAAACCAGAGGGCAGTAATAAAATAGAAATCTTTGTACAGTTTCACTTAGTTTAGAAAAAGACATTAAACTAATTTGTCACACTGCTACTTTAATAGTAGAACAAGGCCACTACAATTAAGGAAGAAAATGGATACAGAGCACAGATACTGAGGCAACACTTGAAAGCAACAGATGCTAAATCAAATAATACAATAAATGATTATTTAACACTTTATCAAAGGAAATCTAAAATAAGTGAGTCTTCACTCAGAAAATTAATTTTAGTAACTTGATGTGCCACAAAATGCTGTCAAAACTTCCGACTTACACATTAAAATTTGTAAAACATAGTTTGAAAGTACCATATTTTATTCTAAGTCTTTTAATATCAGCATCAGTATACATTAATAATAATCAAAATATTTGATTAACCAAAACATTCTATGCCCAACCATGGTTTCCTGAACCTGGATTTACATTAAGCTGAAATTTAGGTAAGAAGCTAAATATAAGAATACCAAAGAAAAAAGCACTTCCTGGATGAAAATTAGTCTTCCTTTACTCCCCAAATTGGTGACAAGTGCTCGGCCATATCAGCAGTTTTTAGAGAAATAGGGGTATAAAGTATGGGAGAAAGTTTAAGCTTTCCTCCCTCCCCCAAACAAAAACAGTACCAACAACTCAAGCATCTGAAAGCCACTTTGTATTACAGAACTTTTCACTTTAACAAAAGCAAGGGTAATTTTGATTCACAAATGTCCTGAATTGTTAATGTACCTAAAAACCTGTTTACACAGTCACAACAGAAAAGTCTTCAAAAAGATGCTAGTAAAACAATCACCAAATAAATAGAACTGATCATCATAGTATTATTTGAAGCTGTTACTGCCTAACTGTGTAGATACAACACACTGCAGTTTCTTAATTCAGAATTCAATACCGAGAAAACCATTCTGCAAGAGGTCAACAGAAAAACTTGCTCTGGATCTAGGAACTCTGGCACCGAAAGCGTGAACAACACAAGGTAATGATGTCGTCACCAAGGGACGACAAGAATAGAACCCAAATCCCCTGTCTCCCGAGCTTGTGTTTTTCACTAATTGTGTTCCTTTCCACTCATGTGAGAGCATCAAGTGCAAAGGAGCGAAGAAGGGAGTGGACACAAATGAGCCAAGTCCGCGAGGTGGAGACTGCAGTGAAGGTCTTAAGGCACAACCTTTTGGCACTATCCTTTTGTTTTGGCTGGGGAAGATGAAAGCAGCAGCAACCACAAACCCTTGGGACCAAGAACTGGAACTAGGTATCTCCTGTTGTGGTAACTCTCTCTTCCTCATCTTAGGCCTTTCCTTTCCACCTTGCCCTCCCGCCAAGCCCTAAAGCTCTCTTCACCTCACTCCATTTCTTTGCTCCCCTCCCGCAGTGCCCCGCCCCTGCCTGTCCCACCGCACAGTATTGCATTATTGCTAGGTGTCCTCCGCAGTACGAGGCAGCTGCGCGGCGGTCCCCAGTCCTGCGGAGAGGTTCTAAGGGATCCTAGCGCCACAAGCGTTTTCTCTAGAAAATGAGTGGTAGTCAAGCACTATGTAAACGTGTTTCAACTGTTATTAGAAACTTAAAGAGGTGGAAACGTGAGCTAATACCTAGTCTGCTCTTCGTAGGTCTATGCAGCTCGTTACGGGAAAGCAAATGTTGGACAATAAGCACAGTCTTTTCCTCTAGCTGGGAGCTTCATATAGCTCAAGCATCCTCTGGGCAACCTCCCACTGGAGGACGCCTTCCAGAGCGCGGGTGTTTACACTTTTTTCAGAACCAGTGGAGCAGACAGTAGCTCGCGGACCCTAGGATCTACAAAACCGTTACTCCGCCCGCTGGGGTGGGGCCAGCCCAACGGCCAAGCCTGCGCAGTACGCCAGGCTGATTCCAAGGTCCTGCGCACTACAAGTCCCAGAAGGCAACGCTCCGCGGAGAGCGAGAGGCCGCCTTACCTGACACGAGCTCAAGTCTTCGACTAGTACTGCGCTACCCCTACCCCGCTGTTGCCGGTCTCCTTTCCATAGTTAAAGGGTACTTTATTTTGAAGCATATGACGAGCTGCCTTAGCAATCTAGACACTGACTCTCTTCGCGTGCTCTTTCTCTCTCTGCCCAAACTGCTTGACTCCCTCATTGGAGTAGGGCTGGGGAGGTAAGAGAAGGTAGCACTTGGAGGCAAGAGCTGAGCGACCTGGTCCCACTTCCGCCTTCCGGACTCCGGAAGGTGAGCGCGCACGCGCTCCCTGCGACTCCGGCGCGGTTGACTTCCGCTCCCACTGTGCCCTGCGAGCCGAATCATGGATCACACTGGTAAGGAGGCGGAGGCAGTGGGGGTCCCAGTTCCATGCCCCCTTGGTCAGCCTGGGACCAGTCGCCCAGTGGGTATAGAGGGATTGTACTCGCTCCAAAGCAATGGAGTGTGGTGATGAGAAAGAAATCTCGTAGACCATTCTCCGTGCCCGGCAGGGGCCTGCTGCTTCCTGGCCTACTCTCCGGTGCAGTAGCAGCCTTAGTACCGGCAAAAGCCGCTTCTCCTCTGGCTCTACTGGGCTCCGGGCCGGGACAGCGGGCAGCGCAGGCCTCGGCGGGATGAGAGAGCGCTGGCTTTTTTTCTTCCCTTCATCTGAGGTGCTCTCTTCTGCGTTGGGAGGACTGGCGGGTAGAGTCGAATTTCGAAATAGGGGAATCCTCACTGCGCTCTCCGCTTGGGCTGGGAGTGGATGGGCGAGAGTGGCTTGGAGACTTCCTGCTGTCGCCGTCGGTTTTGGGCGGGGTTGCAGTGGGCACCTCCTGTCTTTATTGTCTCTCTGGCCCTCCATGGGCTGGAGTTGGAGGAAAAAGTCGGATATGGTTTTCGGAAATCACGCTTGGAGCATCTTTCTCTGTCTGTGCCTAAGACATGCCCCCGCGCTTCGGCTGTGGTCCTTACTCATTTGGAAACATTTACTTAGAGGAGTGTAAAATCGAGACATTTTTAGCTATTTCTCCAAATAAGATTGGCTGCACGCTTTGTTACGTGTTTTTTTTTTTTTTGGTGGCTTTTGGTTCTCGTGGTTCATGGATATTAAAATTAAGTGCACTCGAAGTTAGGAAGTGTTCCATACAGTTATGTTAATCATATCACAGGTAGGGAAAAAACTTTTTCCTGTCTAGGTAGTGACTGGGATGTATGTCCTTAGTCATCACATGTTTAATTATGTAATTACACGTTTCTGTGTGTATCTGTGTTTATTTGTAAGCCTGAGGTTGGAACAGTAAACAAGACTGAGTTCCTGCCTTGCTGGAAATTACATTCTGTTGGGGAAGAGAGTAAAAAAGTTTTTTTAAAAAGATAAAATGTTTACAAATTACGTGTTTTGAAAAAAGTAAACGGGTGCTGTGTTAGATATTAATAGGAAAAACTTTAGAGAAGGTGATCAGGGAAGGTCCTTCTGAAATCTGATGAATGAGAAGAGTAAGCAGAAGAAAGACTATTTCCAGCAGGCACAAAGGCTCTGAGGAAAGGAATACAAGAAGGCCAGTTGGCTGGAGCTTAGTTAAGTTAGCAAGACGTAAAGAGTGAAGACCCTTACAAGGAAATTGAAAAGGAAGGCAGGAGTCAAGTTCTGCGGGAACTTGAAGACCATGGTAAAGATTTGAGTTATTTTAAGTGTACTAGCTCTGGTGGCTTAGTACCTA